TTATCAGCGGCTGTGCTTATCGTTATTGTCTCTAGCCTTTAGCATATATGTGGAGTGCTTTTTGCGTTATCATTTGCTACGCTCTCAAAGATACCTTTAAAAAACTTTATTCACCTTCCATTTCTTTTCCCTATCATGTTTAAGTGATGTTTCGCTATTGATCGCTCGGCTACTCCTTCAGCAGCGTTAATTCATATTGCGAAGATGGGATTCGTTCGTTGAAGAATTTTTTTAGTGAGTGAGACTCATTCACCACCATTGCCATTCAGTTTCAGGGTTTCAGCGGATAATTATAAGAAAGGAGAACAATGTTTTGTTACGCTGCATTGCTGGGTAAGTTGAACTTGCATTTTTTTTTCTTAAATTTCGTGCTTCATAAATACTATTTAGCAATTTTTGCTATGGCATCTGCGGAACATTGGACTGTATATGACGCTGACAGGAAGTTATACTGCATAATTTTGGATGCAGACCCTATTTCAATGACGGTTAAGTTCGCAGGGCCGGTAAGACTTCAATCCTAGTCAAACGTTGCGAGTATAAGATGATCTTTATTGAAAATCCTTCGTTCAAGAAGGGATTATCTATACACTGATTTCGAAAAAATCTGTAGAATTTACTGCATTCCTGATGAACAGATTTTGCTAAGCTTTTTATCTTTATCAATTTTATTATCATGGAAACACATCTTTTAATCGAAAAAATGCCCATTTCTACAACATTTCCTACATTGAACGCTTTGGTAAAAATAATTTCTTGTTTCTTAAAGTCATAATCAAGTTTTGTAATGGCAGATGTATTCTAGTGCAGCTCATAAACCAATGAAAGGGAAAAGTTTTCACACAAGGGTAGATTCTTACAAATTGTTGATATGGTTCAGGCTCAAATCATAGGAAGTGTTCTAGCAGCCTATATTCAGCATCATTTAGTCATTTGTATTCTCTGTGTATGACTTCACTTGGGAGGCGTTCGAGTGGCCCGGTTTTATTTCGGCTGTCAGTATGCATGCTATAATCGACAGATTTTATGAGCTTTCACACTTATAAGCAACAAAAAAGAAAGTATCAACTACTCAGTAATACTTCAGAGTACTATGAGTGCTTGGGTATGAAACTCATTGAGAATTGAAAAAAATTAATTTGGGAATACGGGAGGTTACTATATGATCAAAGCATAAAAATGCATAGTGATACAGAGTAAAACGCAGATTTGACCGTATCGACGGTCAAAAATCGCTTCACTTGACGTACAACTAATCATACGATTCAGAACATGAAAGTTTTTCCCATTAGCCAGCGATTTCTGTTGTTATCACAGCTAGATCTGTGTTTGGATCTGTATAACATAGATTTCATGTTATAATTGTGCTGCAGTAATCTCATGCAAAGGAAGTATAGGACATCCGTTATGTTTTGGAATGTGATGGGAGGGAACTGACTAAGGCTATGAATCTATAGCAAGCATTTCTTCTCGAAGAGGTCTGAAGAAATCCTGATCTATAGATTTGACAAAGTCTGTCGCAGATCATACAATATTATCAAACTGAGAAACTGTTGATACTCTTTTTTATGGGATCAAATATCTGAAAACTCCTGGAAATAGCTGTTTTTGCTGTATTATTGCATGCATACGCGCCAAATGCTGAAAAATCGGACTACTTGACCGTTGCTGCAGCTTAGCTAACCCTGGAAACTAGTACGAAAAGTGCGACTGATTAACTTAATTGAGTCTATGAAATACTTTGAGATTTGAGTGTGGTTTTTCGATTCGATTGTTTATTTGTAGTAATTTGTCACATGTGTCGACGTCAAACAAACTTCTTCTAAACTTGAGTATAAGTGTTAAGTAAACTTCTAGACTGGTATTGTGGAGACGTACAGTGCAACAATTAACGGCACACATGGCGTTTCGGGCAAGTGTCAGGATACGTACGGAAATCGAACAGCGCAGTCTCTCAAGGTGGAGCTTTAGACGATTCTACGTTAGCAGTGCATGATTTTGTCATTGATAGAGCTTGAAGAAAGTTTGGGCAATTGAGGCTTTGTTGTGTAACTTATCAAATTGATTTTCACTCATGTTTTTAGGTAAGTTTCTTCCCTGCTGGAAATGACACCCCTGCTGTCGCTGCTCAACCATGGGAACTGGAGTTCATCTTTGGATCGGATGAAAAGAAAGCCGCTTTTGAGCTTATCGATTATTCTCTCACCACAGCACCCGTTCCGGAGATAAACTCTTCGTTCATTTGTACGTGCACTGTTTTGCACTTCTCATAACCCATTCATTGAGTATCTTCAGACAAGTTCACAAAAGCCGACGGCCAGCTCGACTTCCAAGGCCATGAAAAAAATGCTTTCAAGGTTGGCATGCTCTTAGCATTCGTAATCTAGAAAATACTTCTTTATCTATATTTATAGTGTTCAAACAGTGAGCTACCCCTATCAAACAGTTCCTTGATTGACCTGAAAAATGTTAATGTGGTGGCATTTGCTCAGTTAGAGCAGCCTCAGTTCCCAAAGGAGCAAGGTCAGTTTTTTTTCTCTGCAACGAGTATCATCTGCGTAATCTGTTTGGTAGACGCAGTCCCCTACTGACAAGTGAAGAATTTCGTCTGTAGGCAGATTTTACTCACGTTCGGAAGCTCTGTTTGTTCAGAATGTTGTTCGCTATGACTCTAAAAGCAACTTCCTACAATAGCTTCCCTATTTTTGCACAACACCCAGAAATTCCTTTGCATCTTCCTGCTCTTTTTATAGGCATTGGTGACCTGTTTGATGGTTTCGTTAAGGATAACTTCTTAGCTTCAAGAACTGTATTTCACTTATTTTTGA